GACAGTAGGTGAAGATGCAGCCTTCCCATGGTCAGAGACACTCTTTGCATGGCTGAGGGCAGAGCCAGGGTTACTGCAGACAAAGGCAGGGAAGGATGTGTTCTCCTTCCAAGCACCCCACCTGCCTTTTGGCTTCCTGAAAAGACTATCCCCAAATACCTTGGGGAACAAATGGACCCTGGAACTGCTCAGGAGGGACATAATAGTTCAGTCCTTGCCAAATCTCACTCATCTATTGGATGGAAGGCTGAAAGCGCACACTGCGAGAAGGAACAAAAATGGGAAACGGTCTTGGATCCTGAAAGGATCAGTCAATAAATAGGGTGAAAGGGTCCACTTCATCCCTACGATGACATTGGATGAGTCGCTTCCAAAGGAGAGGAATTAATGGAAAAGGATGGAGAGGAATGGTCCGGCATGTAAGAGGCAAGCCTGCCCTCTGCTGGCTGGGCCTCCTTCTGAAAGTGCCGAGACCCAGCCTTGGCAAGGGGCTGGTGCCCACTTTGCTAAACCCCCCCAGAAAAATGTGCCTGCCTCTTTTCCCTGGCCCACCTGTTGGGGAGCCGAAATGGCTTCTTTGGATCTCTGTCCTTGGAGAACGATGACCCTTGGAGGCACGGATGACCCTTTCCCCAAGGAAGTGGGAGACGTTAGGATGCAGCTGTTGAGAACAATTCAACCTCTTCCAATCATTGCAGGATGTACGAGGATGAGGACGCCATGGAAGGTGGGCCTGGTCCCTCTCCAGGGGCCGGGAGGCGATTGAAGACCTCAGAGAACCGTTCCTGGTTTGGTTTCTTCTAAGGCTCTTCTCCAGATTTTCTTACAGAATCCCAGGGTGTCCCTTCAAACATGTTACAAATGCATCACTCTCTCCTCTATATGTACAGATGGGTACATACAGGAACAAGGATGTACATGTTGCCATAGGACATGGGTTAAGAAGAGTCCAAGACACAAATGAGATGGCACGAGACTGTTTAACTGAGCCATTGTGAAGAGCCTGGCAGATTTGAAAACCAGCATCTGCCCAGTTACTAGGAAAGGTTAGCTGGGGATCCAAGCTGGCGATCCTTACCCATCTTGCCCCCTTCGGCCAATGCTTATGCACAGAAATGCTCAAATTAATCTGCCTAAGACTGACTAAAACAGTCTTCCTGCTTTGCTTCCTCCCTGGAATGACAGCGCTGGCATCCTGCTGTTTTCTAAGTGGAGCTCAGCAAACGTGAGGGCTTTAGGGAACCGGGCCTGACGAATGGACTGGACTTTTTCTTTCCCCAAGCAAGAGCTGAGATCTAGACCAATGACTTGCGATCACAAGAGGGCCTGGAAGTCTCCCTATCATGTATCAGATGATGAGAGAGGCAGGCCTTGGCAGGGTGGGGGAAGGAGGAGTGAATGACCCTGGATAAGGGTTGGCCAGTGTGGAGAGGGGATCCCAGCTGCCCCAAATGTTGTGTGAACACCCCAACGCAGTCTTGAATGCCTGTGTCTTTGCCTAGCGGACGAGTACTTCTACTCAGGGGTCCGTAAGTGGAGACTGTGGAAAAGGCTTTCAGGCTGTGCAGCTCCTTCTCCCTGGTGGGTGTTACGAGCACGAAATCAGATAGGAGGAGCAGGAGAGCCGTGTGCCTTCCCATCTCACTGGCTGCTGAGAAACAGCCTTGCTAAGCCCCCCTCTCCAAAGACTTCGTACATCTAAAGGCCAGAGAAAGCTGGAACACATAGGCACAAACCCTCCTTCCTTCGCTTGGCGTCTGTGCTGCGGTTTAACAAGGGGAGGGGGTCCTTGGGGGTTGTCCAACTTTCCAGTTTCTTGCTCAAGCCCACTGCCCCCCCTCCAAAATAGGAGCCCCTTTTCCTTTCCTTGCAATCTTTCCCAGCTCTTTCTCCCCCTCCCCTCCCCTCCCTAAATTAAGCCATCCTAATTATTTTCAGACTGCTTTATCTCTGCTTTGCAACGCTCTGCAGAAAGACCAGGCGGTGAGCACTTTCAGCCGCCATAAACAAAGGGACGGTTTGGGAAACAATTCTATCAATTAATCAAATTAAGCCTGCCGCTTTCGTTACAAGCCCCAAGTGGCCGGATCCGAGCCCAGAGTGAGGAGTTATCTCTGCCCGACAGCGTTTAAACGTTTCGGTGGCAGTCGTAATAATGAAAGAGATCCTATTTCTACGACTTGCCTGTGCCAACCCCGAATCTTAGGGATGTGGCCGCAGACGTCACCCTGAGGGCGTAAAGAGAGGACCAGGGTGGTCCAGGAAGACCCTGGCCTTTGCCCAGGAGCCCATCGGCAGAGTTGGAAGAACGGCCTGCAGCCCCAAAGGTGGAAGGCTGCTCCTGCCTGCCTGCCTGCCAGGTGGATGCCAGAAAGAGGGCTATGCAGGAGCCGATCGGAGAGGGGCACCCCATGCAAAGACGGCCTCGTGGCTCGTACAGGTAATCCTCATCTTATGACAACGGAGTCTCAAATTTCTGTTGTTAAGCGAGACATTTGTTACGTGAGTTTCCCCCCATTTTATGACCTTTTTTGCCGCAGTCACGGACTTCCTGCATTTACAGAGGTTTTTCCTTTCTTTCCCAGGTTGGCACCTCATTTTGCAAGAGGTTGAGCCCTCAGAGCGAACCCCAGAATGTTTGAAACATTCAGCAGCAGCCCAAAGGGAAAATGGGGGCTTCTGCAGTGAGTCCCAACCATCAGCCTCACCACTTTTGCTCCAGGTTGTTGAGGGATTAGGTATTTCCCTGGTCAGAGAAGCAAAGGACTGGCTGAGCTTCTTGGTTTTTTCCTTTCTGGGTTTATGGATGCTTCTCAGAATTTCCAATTGCCTCTGAAAAGCCAGGCAGCCCCAGGAGCAGACCATTGTAGTTCCTACAAGAACTGCAAACGGAATAAAATGAACGTAATTTGAGAATTGATTGAAAAGGTTTGTTTACGGGAAGAAGGGAACCACGTTATGCGATACGGGACAGGATAACTGTGAAGAAGATCAGAAGCTATTTTTTTAAAGATCGATTCCATTTTTCATTGTTATCTTTCACTTTTTCTTTTACTCCTTTATATTTTCTTCCTTTTCCTACTCTTTATCTGCGGGTGTTTTTTTTCTTCTTCTTCCACATTTATGTAAAATCTCCTGATAGTAAAAAAAAATATATTAAAAAAACAAACAAACTTCACACAGACCGGCAAATTTCTGGGAAAATATTGGACTATATTTGAGAGGATAAATCTCAGCCCCATTTTACAGTACCATTCTTGTATGCACATCCCTTATTTTATTTGGCAATATTAAAAGAAGGTCCAATGGGCACCCGACCAACATTATAAAAACAATCCAAATAGTCACTTTCCTCTGCTTTCTCACAAATACCAAAATAAAAAACTTTTAACATAATGCATTGCACCCAAACATATAATCAAAGTATTTTTTAAAAAACAGTGAACTGTAAAGGTAGATATTAACAAGATAACGTCATGTAATTCCTTTAAAAAAAAAAGACCTTAAAAGCAAACGTTATTTAGTCTGCAAGACATATGCAGAGTATTCTGGGGGAGAACCCCAAATTACTTCAGTGCGCTGTTCTGCTCTCTCTTCCCCACAGAGGTCCCCAAAACAGTCCAGAGCAGTGTTTTTTGGACTTTGTCAACTTTATGAGGTACAGACTTCAATCCCCAGAATTCCCTAGTCAGCTATGCTGGCTGGAGAATTCTGGGAGTTGATGTCCGTACTTCATAAAGTGTCCAACATCAAGAAACACTGGCCCAGGTCCTCCAACTCTATGCTGAGAACAATATCTCAGGATTTAAACCTTTATAAAACACACTGCAGAGTTGTGAGCAGGGCAATGTTTGAAAAACACCCCCCTGCGTGTCAGTTTATAAAGGCCGCTGTTCCTCTTTTACCTTGTGTTTTTGTGTGCATGTGTGTATGCTTGTGTGTGTTCCTGTTAGAATTCACATTACAATGAAAAATAGCACCACTTAACTGCATAGTATAAAGCCATACCAAGTTTAGCAACTACCTCGATACAGAAAGCCTTTAAAAACAATGATGTTTGGGGTTTTTTTGTTTTTGTTTTGCTTTTCTTTAAAAAAAAATCTCTCTCTCTCTCTTTTTTTTAACCCAAGGAAAGCCTTACTATGTGGGGCCGGAGTGGTCTTGGCACAGTTTTCTCACTGGAAAATATTAAAACAATATTTTTTTAAAAAAATATTCAACTCTGTCATACATCTTCAAGGTGCAGTTTAGTTAGGTTAAAGGGCCCACACCCCTTTACTCTTTTTTTAAACAACAACAACAACAACAACAACAACATTTCAACAACATCTACACAGTGGTCTGAGAGAGGTGAGAATTTCAGAGTCTCTGGAATGAACAAATTCGCCCTCAACGCAACCTTCTTGGGAAGGGTTGTCTGCCAAAATTGTGGCCTGTTTATTTTATAATTATTTTTCAAAGTATCTTGTCTAAGGCTGGTTCCCAATTAAATGAAATCACTCAGGATTACTTGTGCAAAGCCTCCGGGAGGAGGAGCAGGGGCACCAATGCTTCCTACAGTGTGCTGCACCTCACGAACAAGGCAGTCTCTGGTATGAAGTTCACGTCTTCAAATTCTTTATCCAAAGATAAGAGAGACACCGACTGAAAAAGGGGCCGAGATTTGCAAGCCACCCTTACAACCTCAGTACTTCTGCCATAAAACATTTCCTCTTGACACTTCGCTCTGCCCAAAGCAATTACCATTTTTAGTCCGTGAGAACGAACCACCGGCAACATCAAAGTTCTAGCTTTTGCATGATAAATCAGGTGAATTAAAGTAGATTAGTAAGACATAAAGCAAGAACTATTTGAGAGTCTGCAGTGCAAGTTCATTTAAGCTAGACGGAGAAACCAAGCTACACAAATGAATGTAATGCTTTGATAATTTCTCTTCCCCCCCCCCTCCCCCCCCCCAGCCCCATGAAAGCAGCGAAGGATCACGGCAAGTCACTCATAAATTACTCAGAAGTATCTCTTCTCAAAGGAATTTTAAAACTCGTTAATTTCTGCCCAAACAGTTGGTTTAGGAGGTGAGTTTGGGACTCAGCTGTCCTGTAACTGTGGGAAGTGGGGACTTTAGCACCTTGGACAGCTCTGCGGCGGTTCAGAGAGCTGGGCAGGGAGGCAGAGGGGTCTTTGGTTAAGAGGGGGTACAGGGCCTTGCTCCCCAAGACCTCCTTCTTGCGCCTTAACTCTCCATTGGCATGGCCGATCTCTACCTTCTTCTGGAAACCTTGGTCAAGCACCAACTTTCGAAGCTGGCTGTCCGTCACAGACACCTTGAGTTTAGGGGCCTGTTTGTTGGCATGCGTGTCCCTCCGTCGAGAGGAAAAGGCCAATGCCTCAGTAGTGGGCCAGTCAACCTTCTTGACGTGGTCGCCCTTCACAGAATCTTGGCTCCGGCCTTTCCGTTTTTTGCTGCCATCTCCTTCAATGTTCTCTCGGGAGGCCGAGTTTCCCCGATGGGAGGACTTGTTGTGTTCCTTTGGTTTTTTGGAGTGTGGACCGGCCAGCCGATTTGCAGCCGGTCTTTCTGGGAACTTGTTCAGCTCAGAATGGTGGTTCTTTGACTGAGCACTCGCCGCTTCGCCACTCGCAGGCCTGACCAAGTTGAGTTCTGTCTCTTTCGTGCCAACACCGGAGTTGGTATCTTTGGGGTGAGCAGTGGTGTCCATTTCTGGGAAAGCTTTGCCTTTCGAGAGTGGACCCACCTGAACTTCTTCTGCACCATCAAGAGAGCAGGGAATGCCAGGGGTGTTATCAGCATTGGCCTGACCACCGATGACCTTCTTTGAAGGAACTTCCTTGGCAGGCCGGTTTAGCATAGAGGATGACGCCTTGTCCTTGAGAGGTAACTCATGGAAACTGGTTTCTGGCAAACGTAACTTGCTTACGGTCTCCTGAGGGGCTGTTCCATTCAAATCAGGATTGCTGCTCCACTGTATTTCAGGAGACCATTTACATTCTGAAGACCCCGGATTTTCAGGAGAAAACTTGGGCACCTTGCTGGCAAGATCTTCTAAATACGGGCTCTCCCAGGTCCCTATATTGTGTTCGACCCTTCGGCTAACTATGGCCTTTTCTGGACTGTCGTGTTCCTTGTTGTGCTTCTCAGAGAGATAAGCCAGAGATAGCTTTCCTTGGGCAGCAGCCGTCTTCCTAGGTGACACACTGGCAAGATCACTGCTAAGTGCATCAGGTGAGTTTAAGAGAAGCATTGGGTTGTCCCCTGGGCTCTCCACATCTGCCCATGTTTCGGGAGAAAGTGCAGTAATGTGTTCTGGGCTGCTTGGGTCATCTTGGGGCTCAAGAGGAAGGGATGGAAGTAGGTGGTGAAGTGGAGATGTCCCCCTTTCGGCCAGGAGACTAGAGAAATCCCTTCCTGGCCCTTCTGTTTCCATAGGGGGCTGAGCTGAAGGGGGCATGGCCAGGCTAGTGGCTGTGGACAGAGCCTCACCAGCGGATGGCAGAGTCTGACTACCTTCTTGAGATGCTTGGGCCCCATCCAAGTGCACAGGCAAAGCCAGTTCAGGAGAGTTGTGGTGGTGGGACACCTTCTTCTTCTTGGCTGCTGGAGCTTCTGCTCTTGCACGGGTCTCCTCTTTGAGGTCCTTCTTCCCATATTTTGCAAAGGGCCCCGGCCGCATCACACCTCGAAAACGGAAGGTCTTGCTGCTGCCCACCAGGTGCTTCTCCATGTGTCTATCGTACTGTTCCTTTTTGGAGAAGGTGTAGTTGCAAGTGCTGCATATGAAAGACTTCTTGATGACGTGCATGACATCTGCACAAAGCTCACAGGCATACAGAGTGGTGTGCTTGATGTCGGCTTCTTCAGCTATTTCATGCTCTTGGCTAAGGTGGCTCCGGAGCTCTTTGGTCTCCTGATAGAACATGGGACATTTGTGGCACAAGAAGATCTTCTGCAGGCTATGGACCACGAGATGTCGCTGGAGTTTGAAGGGCTTGGGGAACTGCTTCCCACAGTGGTGGCAGTCTCGGGAGGGATCTTTGCACTCAGGGTGAATGGGCACCGACTTCTGGGCCCCTTCGACCTTGGGAACGGGATCAGGAGATGGAACGGCTGGGACTTTGAGGGAGGCGATGGGTGGCCGGATTCTGGTGGGGATCTCCGGCAAGTCTTTGTGGACCGCCGGCTCTTGCCCTGAAAACTCTTTGGGACCTTTGACCTCGCTGCCAGCCGGTGCTCCGTTTCCCCCTTCGGCCTGCTTGGGAAACCTGCTGGGTTTTCGGCAAATGATGGAGTTGAGGAAATGCGTGACAGCAGCATCCTCTTCACTGAAACCCAGGCCCAAGACTGACTTCTGAGCCTGGCCTTTGCGGGCAAACTGCGTGGCGTGTTCTCGCAAGTGTTCGTTGTACATCCAGACCTCGGAAATTTCCTTCAGGCACATCCCGCAGGCCCAGAGGCCAGCCTTGTTCTTGGCGTGTTTCTCCTTTAAGTGGTCCCTCAGCTGTTCCCTTGAGCTGAATTTCCTCTGGACACACATGTAGCATGTGGGTGGAGGGGAAGGATTATGGCTGAGCTTGTGAAAGTCCAGTTCCCCTAAAGTAAGGAACCACTGGAAGCAGACTTTGCATTTATACTGCTTGTCTTTATTCTTGAGGTTTAAATCATTGCGGGTTTTCCCCGCCTTCCCTTCTTCTAGCTTATGTTTCACCGGCTTGACTCGCAACAGGGATGTTGGCTTGGGACCTAAGGGGCCATCACCACCACCCTTTGTGGGACTCAGCGGATCTTCTCCAGTGGGGCAGAAACAAACATCCCCCGTCTCAAACTTCATGTTCAACATCTCCATGTCAATGGTAGGAAATGCAGAGGATGTTTTTTCTTCGGTGCTGTGGGGTTTTTCTTTCAGGTCAGGCAGTTCTGGGTTGTCTTCTGCTGCTGAATGCCCACAAGGAAGCTGCACGGACGAGTTGCACGATGGCCCCTCAGCAGAACTATTTTCTGTTGCTTTCTCAAGGTTATCCCAGCTTTTAAAGCATGGAAGAGACCCAGTGGGACTCTCTTTGCACAGAAAGACACCGCTGTTTTTCAAATCATCATCATCATCTTCCTTTTGCCCAGTATCCAGTTGCAGGGCTGTTTCTTTGGTAGGTCTGGAATTAACATCACCACTCGTGACTTGACTCCCATGACACATGTTGAGCATCAAAGCATCATCAATGGAAATTGTGTCATATTCACAAGGATCTTCCCGGGTAACACAGAAGGAGCTGTTTTCGCCAAGATCAGAAGCCATGCGGATCATAAAAAGATCTGGTGTGCCTTCTGGTTTTGCAATGATTTCTGAAACAGCTTTAGGCTTTTTGGAGCGCTTCCCATACACACGTGTGCATTTTCTACGGGCAAACTCATCATTTCTGGGGAAAAGTTGTGAAAATGTGGCATCATCATCGAACAAGCTCGGTAGATCTGGTTCGACTGCAGGATCAACAGCAGGCTCCTCCTTCGGTGGCTGTGGCTCTTCCCTCTTCCAGGGCTCCGGAGTCACAAAACAAGGGGCATCCAATGCTTTCTCAGATGTGGGTTTGGGAGAACCTGTTTCAGAAGCGGTTCCAGGAGGACAAGGTGGTGAAAAGGGATTGGGGCTCGTGGGATATCCCGACGGGCTATTCTGACTGGTACACGTCACCTCTTCTAACAGACGCTTCTCTGATGACTTCTGGTTCGGTTCATCCTCACCTTCTTTCACAGATCCACTGGGCCATCTCTCAGGGATATGCTCTACTTGTCCCAGCTCTTCTCCTTCTTCTTTATGGCTCTCCACGTTCTGAGGAAGCTGTGGTTCAACCGTCCTTTGAGCTGAGGGCATTTTCTCATTGATGTTTTCTAATTCATTTGTCAAGGACTGCTGAGGAAGCGATGGCAAAGATACCTTGATCTGCTCTTCTGACCCTTTCCCAGGCTCTTCAGGGATGGTGGTCAGAATGTGGTCATCAGTGATGCCAGTGGTGTTACCATGAACCGGAGGGACCTCAGACTCCTGAAGAGAGGAGGCAGTGACCTCATCCTTGTCTGATGTCATTTTTGTTTGCCTGGGTTTTTCCTTGGTTTTTCGCCTTGCGTAGCTACTTGATCTTTTGGTATGGGCCACTCTGGTTGCTTTTTCTGTACTTGTGTTTTTTCTAGACTGGATTTCTGACCCATCTGATTTCTCTGCTTGTGAGCTGGTGGGTTGTATTTCATCTGTCGTTTGGAATTCATGAGCTGTGTCCAACGCAATAACATTTGGGCCATTGAGTTCCTTGCTAATACCTTCTTGGCCCCGTGCCTTTGGCGCCTTCTTTTGCCTTCTGGAGGCCTTAGGAGAAGACCGGCCTACAGCTTTTGAAAGGTCTGAGTTACTAGGTTTCTCTTGAATGAAGCACTTCACACTTTTCTTGGGAAACACTTTGCTTGTCTTTAATGCTTTTTCCAACGGGGCTGAATTGTTGTCAGGTAACACGACTCCATCCTTTTTCCTCTGATGTTTCACAGCTTTGTGTCTTATCAACCCAGTTTTGGATCTAAAAGAAATGGAGCAAATATCACAAGCAGTTTGCAAGCCTTTCCTCTTCCTTGCTTTGGATTGTCCAGGCTTAGAATAATTTCTTAAGGTTTGATCCTCAGGAATGGATTGTTCCATGCAGTCAGATGATTGTTTCGAATTCTCATTTGATGCAGAGTCCTCCTTCTTCAAATTGCTTCTGTTTCCTAGATCCTGTGAGTCACTTGAGGATCTTCTTGGTGGAATCCGACTAGTGTCATCAGCCATTTGAGTCAGAAGGATAACTGGCATCTCTTCAACATTGACATCTTTCTGGAAATATTCCGACTGACACGGATCTCTACTTTCTTCCTGGGGGTCTCCTCCAATGTCCTTTGCCTCTTGGGGTTTGGATGTTGATGACACATTTTCATTATAGACTCCACCTCTCAGCTCAACAGAATCTATTCCCGATGGAAGTGGGGCGAGCAAGATATCGTGTATGGATACTGCCTGAGGACCCCTGGGTTCCTCCCTCACGGAAAACATGCCTTTGTCTTCATCCGGCTGATAGTCAGAGGGCTCTTCAGGACGCTTCCTGCTTTTCAGAGGGAGCCTGCTGGGAGATTTGCAGTCACTCATTTGCAAGTTCAAAGGTCTATTTATTTCAGCAGCAGAAGATGCTCCTTTGTTGGAGCAGAGAGATGAGGAGTAACCCAGAGGGACATTCTTCTGGGGTTCCATCAGGGCATGGTTGAGGTCTTCAGCCAGGGCACCAGGCATATCTGGGGGCAGGTGTGAAATGGCATCACAGGAGGGGAAGAACGGAAGGGCTTCTGCACATCCCTTCGGTCTGGGTGGGCTCGGCTGAGGAACTGCCGTCTTCTTCTCGACAACGGAAGGGAAGCTGCACATAAGGAAGGCAACTTGCTGACTTGCTGCAATGATTTGACCAGGGATCTCTTCCAATGGAATCCCTCCGAAGTCAGAGCCTGTAGCATTTCTTGTTTTTAGCACCTTTTTCTGATCAGCAGAGCCAAGAACCAGAGAAAGTCCAGCCTGGGAGGCTTCAGCATAGTAACTGACTTGCTTCTCCGATTCATGACCTTCTGTTGAATCCAAGCTGTTTGCTGAAGAGAAGTCATTTCTCTGCAGGAGATGAACACGCTCCGTTTGGCTTTCAGGGGAATAGATGGGAGTCAACGACATGTTAAGTTGCAGGTCTTGCAGCTGATCTTCACTCTCTTCCACCTGGTGGACTTTGTCGGCACCCAACTCCTGGTCCCCAGAGTTCCAAGAAGCGCAAGAGCCCACCTGTGCTTGGAGCACAGCAGATAAAGCCCCTTGTGGTGTTTTCTTCTCGGGCGACCAAGGGCTTAAGGGGGATTTTCTGCAGTCTCTAAATGCCAAGGTCTTCTCTTCTTGATCCTCCTTTGCCAGTCCTGTAACTGGGCTCTGCTGTGCTCTTCCCCCACTTAGCACCGAGGCTGCTTCTGAGTTGCTGAGTGGAGAGAGGTTATCGGACTCCGGGGAGATACCCTCTGCACACATGGCGTGGCCGTTCACTTCCAAACATTCAACCTTTAAGTGCTGCTGCTGGACAACTTTAGAGTATTGTGCTGGGTTCAATGGGGCTGAGTCTTTGGAAACATCTGAGGCACATTCACCAAAAGGCTCTGTCTCTTTCTCTGGCTCTGAAAGCAGTTTGGTTGGAAACTTGGCAGTCTCTTTTAACAGATTCTCTCTCTTGTTCTCCAACCCGGGGCCACTGGTGACTTCTTCATTTGGCTCTTTGTCCATAAGCTCCTCTTCTGGCTGTGGAGCAAGGCTCTGCCATGTGGGCAGGTGAGCCCCAGGATGCTGAACTGGGAAGGATGAACTCACCAACTCTTCCTCATTGTTTTTAACTGTCCTGGCCACGAACAACTGCAGCTGATGCAGAGGGTTACCTGCTTTCTCTTGGGTGCTGGACTTGAACCCAACGTCTCCATCCACCTCCTTGGAAAAAGTCAGCACATCAAAGTGTGGTGTGTCTCCATTGTCACCTTTGGCATTGAGCATTAAAGTCTGGCAAACTGTTTGGCTCCTAGTCTCGTCATTATTACCTAGATGCTCATCTTCGTTGTTCTGGAACAGACTTGTAGTTTCTAGCTTTTCAGGTGGGTGCTTTTCTGGATTTTTGCTTTGTGCACTAGAAGACAAGTTTTCGTCTGATTCTAGAGCATCCACACCCTGCAAGTCAAATTCCGGATCTAACGGTGAGACGTCGTGGCCATACGATTCTAACTCAGTGGGGCTACCGCATGTTTTCTGCTCTGACAGTAGCTTTGGGAAGACATCTGATCTCAGTGACAAATTCTCATGTGGATTTAAATCCCTGTCCTCCAGAGATTCGGGAAAGATTGAATCAGGACTTTGTATAACCTGTTCAGCATAGTCTGGCGCCCTGGAGCTGTTTGATACCTCATCCAGGCATGAATCATTTTTTATTCCCCCAAAGTCAACTTCAGCGGAGATTTCAATATCCTTCAGATTTTCAGCCGTTTTGTCTTGGTGCCCTTGGGGGCTAAACGTACCTACTAGAATCAAACCCGGGGCTGACCCTAATGGGCTGAATGACCCTGCACACGGCCAAGGGGCGTTGGGACTCCCATACTTGGTCTCCAAAGCTGAAGGGGCTCTTTTCTCACTCGCTATATTTTCACAGCTAAATGGTTCCGTGGGAAGGAGCTTGGCATTCTCATACCCAGCCTCAATTAGAAACAATCCTTTGCCCTCTTGTTCCTGGTCCAGCCGTAAAGACAAAAACTCATGAGCCGATTCTTTCGCTTCCAGGCTGAGGTGATTCACTGAGGCCTGGTCTTCATAAGGCGCCTGCAGAGGAAGCTTGTTTGCTTGCAACTGGCTTTCGAGCTCAGTGACCAACCTTTTAATCTCCAGCTCATCCTCGGACAGGCCACTCATGAAATGCACGTTATACTCAGAAAGCTGGTCAGATAGAGACAAGGGGCTGATGTTGCTGGAGGGCCTCTTCGCTATTGGTTTTTCAACAGGCAGTCTAGGAATCGGGGGCGTACCTCCTGCCAAAATGGGAGACACGTCCCCCATCAGAGTCCAGTCCTTTTCTGGCAGAAAAGAGGAATATTGCTGGTCAAAGGGGATTATCTTGCTAAGCTGATGACTGGCGCACTCAAAGGGGATGTAATTATCCTTGCTTGAAGCCACACTATCATATAAGTTGGCATCAAACTCAACTATAGGGAATTCTAAAAATGCTGATGATGAATCAAAATGAAGTGGTGCGGAGACCTTACTCTGGGCATGATCCGATTCACAGGGCAGGATGCTATCGTGCTTCTCTTTGAACGAGGGCACATCAAAGTCTCCCTGACATAAGTACGCATTTTCGTTAGGGGGAGGTCCCATGGTCAGCCGCCCTGAGAATAGACTTGGGGTCTCATAGCTGTGGGATAATTCTTTGCAGTCATAAAATGCATTGGCAGCATCCAGAAAGGGGTTGACACTTTTCCCAGAGGTCTCTCTGCTCCCAGGATTGTCTCCGAAGCAGCTGATTGGCATAATGAGTTCCTGCCGGTTCTTCAGGCCCTCGAGGTCCACTTGTTCGTAGCTGGTGCTCTCCTCACTGGAAATGCTGTGCTTGCCCACGGAAGGAGAACCGGTGGGTTCTTCCGCTGGGTTTTTCAAGATCCCTCCTTTACCGGCAGTGTATGGATGGCAGCGATGGCCCTCTGCCCCATCTGTGTCTTTTGGCATCACCCTTGGATGTTCACTGTCACCGCAGAAGGCCCCATGGTACTGGTCAGAAACGTCAGGAGAAAGAGGCACAGTGGGACCTTTCCCAGCTGTGGCCTCAGAGGGACATGACATCTCTCTGCTCTGTGTGAGATGTGTGTCCTGGGGAATGCTTGGATTGTCTTCCTGAAATTTCTGTTTATCTACTGGCTGAGTTTGAGGTGGGTCAACCGTAGTGGGCTTTCTAGGCAAGTTGGAACTCATACCGTGGCTTCTTCTTATAGTTTTGTTCTCAGGAACATTAAGGGGTCCGACACATCTGGAAATTTTCAGGAACCGTTTCCTCTGTTCACTCTCTCTTTCGGTGTCTGAATCCCCCCTCTCAGTACTCTGGGGGCTGTTGCTGGTCTCACTGGACATGCTCAGACTCTGGCAACTGCTTGTGGAGGACCTACTGCTTCTCCTCCTCACTCTTGCTGAAGGACCACCTGTCCTTTGCAGCTCCTTGCTTGCAAGTCTTTTGGGTTCCTCCTCTCCTCTTCTGGAACCATACCTCCATATTGGCTCCGTCCCCTTCTCCCTTCCTCCTCTTCCTTGAGTCCTTCTGCTCAAGCCGCTTCTGAGCTGTCCACTGAATCTGGAGCCCAGCTTTCTCCTGCAGTGTCGCTTGGCGTACTCCACCCTCTCGTCATCTGATTCTGACATGTATTCATACTCGCCAAATTTGTTGTCCTTCGTTTCTGGAAGCAACCGGTTGGTGAACAAGGAAAGTGACACTGCTTTGCTATTCTGGCTGTGCAGTTTATGGAATTTGTTCTTTTGCTGGACAATTTTCTGGATAAGCTCCTTGCTCCAACTGCCACTGCGTGGCTTCCTCTTCTTGGCACCTTTCTTGGACAGCGTGGTGCTTTCTGCCATGCTGTTAGTACCACCAGTCTTGAGTTCACTCCTTGGAGAAGCACAGGGAAGGTTCTTGGTCTGCCTCAGGTCTGACCTAGTTTGGCTCCCCTGCTTTGCTGGCAGGAAAGGACCACTGCCGTTCTTCTTCCCTGCTTTGCACTGGACACTTGCGTCGTCTTCTTCTTCTGCCCCAAATATTGATGGCTTTGGGGCTTTATTTCGAGGCAGTTCTGTGCTCTTGAATGTTTCGTGTCTTTCTTCTCCAAAGTCTGAAAGCCAGTTTGTTCCTCTCTCTTTAGGTGGCTTTGATGTTTTACTTTTGGCCAACTCCCCACTAGGATGGTTGTCACAGCAGTTGAGCATTTTCATGCTTTCATCCATACCTACGTGTTTGGCTTTCTTCCCTAAAGTCAAGCTTTCTTTTGCTTTGAAAGGTGTCCCAGCATTAGTGGTCTTCACAGATACCAGGTCTTCATCAGCAAACACATCTATGAAGCTGCTGTCAATTTCAGGGTTATCCGACTGGTATCCCAGTCCATTCAGAGCTTCAGTGATCAAGCTGTCTAGTTTAGCATCATCGATCTCCAAGTCAGAAGTGTTGAGTGGCAAGAAGTTTCCAGGAAAGCCATTGAGCTGGTTCAGTTTCAGAGGATCATCTTTGGATTCTCCTTTACCTTCTACGTCCACCAAGAAGTCCACAGTCTTGTTCGAAGCAAGCAGTTGCAAATGAGGGTCTGAAGGGAGAAGCATCCCCAGGCTAGTCTGGCCGTGCTTTGCAGGTTCAGGAGAGGCCTGATGTTGCTTCTTGACTTCTGCTCCTCCGGGAGAGTCCTTGGCCTGACCTGGGAGGACTACGTGAGAACCACAGAACTGGCGGTGCTCTAAGAAAGACGAAAGGTTGCTGAAGTTCTGATCACACTGCTTGCAAGTCAGGAAAACATCCAACTGGTCGAGACTCGTGCTGCTCAGTGAGCTGGCCAGGAAGTGACGGGAGGAGGAATATGGGTAAGGTGGTGGAGGCAGCTCACTCTCAAAACCCTCCGGGCACCTTTTGGAGGCATCCACGTTGGATTTTTGGAAATGACTGTCCACGGAGACGCCCTTGTAGAGGAGTTCTTGTTGAAAGGCCTTGATAGGGTTGGCCACCTGGTAGGGGACCGAGCTGGCACCCAGCAGCTCCGAGGCCTGGAAGGGTTTCCTGCCATCCTTTGGGTGCCCTTGGTGGTGGAAGAAGGTGGAGGCAGCCAAGGCAGCTTCATCTTCAAAGCTGTGGCCAGGAGGGCTGCTGGAGGTGAGGGAGGGTGAGGAACAGCTGCTGTTGAGGTTGGGGGTGGGGGACGAGAGAGGAGACCCCTTTGGGGATGGGGCTAAGGTGGCTGGTGGCAACCCTAAACTGGGACTGGGCGGGTGGTGAGATGGGATGGGAGGCCGTGCTGGGCTCATGGTGAGGAAGAAAGTCTTGCTCTTGGATGTCTCTCCTTCGGGTGACCCTTCGAAACAGAGGCCGCTGGCTGAGCTACAGTTCTGATGGGCCAGGTCCTCACCCCCCAGAGCTTTACTGGGATAGCTGGTGGGGCTTTGGGGCAGTTTCTTGCTTTCCTCCCACTTCGAGGTGCTGAGAGGGAAAGGGAGCTTCTGGCTGGCCAACTTTCTGGACAGCTCGAGTCTATTCTGGCCGGGCACACCAGAGGTGAGATGCAGATGCTGCCAGGCCCTTTTGCCAAGACCCGAATGGTACCCAAAGGAGACCTGGCTGCCCCCTGGACTGGGACACCCCGCTGAGCTGGGCTCCATGGGGGGATAAGTCTTTTTGCCTCCCTCCCAGGCCTGCAGGAGCTGGGGGTGGGCCTGAACGCTGGCGGGAAGGCTCTTCTCAAAAGGCACCACGCTGGACGCTTCATTGGAAGCCTTGCTCTGAAAGTGCACTTGCGGGAGAGTAACTGGTAGCCCGTTCCTTCGTAGAGAGCTGCCTACATCCAGTATCCTTTGACTAGCTACGCCGTCCTTTGACAAAGACGGATGCCTCTTGCCCACGGCCTTCGGCGTACTCGAGGCATGTAAACTGGGTGGGAAAACAGCTTGGTTTTCTTGGAAAGTGCTTGGAATTTGGTCAATAGCACCAGAAGGCGAGATAGCACCATTATGGTCAGCGGAAGGCCCGTTCCTTCCTTTGTAGCATGGCAAGTGTCCCGGCGCCTGGGGCAGGTGGAACGGAGCAGGGGGAGGAGTCAGCCCGTAAGTCCTGCTCTCCACATTGTCATAGGAGCCGTTGCCACGAACCTCCTCCTTCCAGTCCCTGGAGGAAGAATGGAAGGCAAAAGCACCATGAGAAGCCTGGCTGGTGGCCAGCGAGATGCTGTTGGCATAGTCTTGGGGGTGAGCCTCCCCTTGGAACGGATCTGAGGCTGAACTGTGCAAAGGGGAGAAGGGGTACTGGAAGGACAGAGGCCCTAGGCAATGCGTGCTCGGCTTGGGGGCCGGGAGTCCATTATTAGCACCAAGGTAGCCTTTGTCGGGGGAAGGCCACACGTTACTTCCGTTGGCTTGGAACTCCAGGTAAGGGAGCTGCCCTTTGGTGCCAGGGTTTTCAGGAGGATCATTAACCAGTGGTTGTATCTTCGAACCATGGCCTGGACATGCAGTGATGGCTTGTGAGGTATAGTTGCTGGAGATGTGGCTGGTGGGAGCCTCTGAAAAACAGGGGCCAAAGCTCAGCTCTTCTTCGGAAAGTTTCAGATCTCTTTCGGGGAGGCTGGGCGCGTGGAACCTGTTGCTCCCCAAGGCCGGCCCTCGGTCAGCTTCCACCTTCTTGGGGGGCATGATTTTCTGCTGGGGGTAAGCAATGCCAATGGTGGGGTTGGGCCTGGCATTGTTGAGGGTGAGCCGGTAGAGTTGCTGATGGCTCCGCTCGCTCCTCCCTGCCCTCCGGCTGCTCTTATCTCTTGCCCGGCTCCTTCCAGGGGGAGAGGGGGGGTTCCCTTTGGTGCCACCCCATGGGCTGCCCCCAGAAAACCTGGGGCGGTTGTTGAGGGACTTGAAGTCTATCTTGCCTGCTTTCTGGGGGCGGATCACCGCTTCCCGCTGGCTCTGAGGCTCCTTCTCCTTGTTGCTGACCACGTCGGCCCCATTGTGGCCCCCACTTTGCCCCTCCAACTCGGATCTGCTTTCAACTTCACCCGGATCTTTCTTGCTGAATGGTTCGAAGCCGAGCACTTTGTCCTGGCCACCAGACTCAACATCACGGGTGGCATAAACATGCTGGGTTTCTCCCATGATGTCATGAAGGACCAGGTTTCTCCCGAGCCCGTCTCCTTCGCCTCCTCAGCCTAAGGTCTCTCCATCCCTTGGATTCTCTTTTCTTCTCCAGGGGCTGGGAGGCATCTCCGCCTCTTGGACCACTCCTACGTCCATCTTGGCTGCGGGAGAGGCTCTGCAGAGGAGGTGCAGGGAGGACGCATCATCGCATTCCGGCGAGACCTGTAAGAAGAGAAAGTCCACATGAGCCTTGGGTTGTCAGAAGGTTGGTGGTCACATGAAATTTTGGATTCGCAATACTCAGGCATCGTTCAGAGCTTAAGCTCCATTTTCTGACTGATCCCTGGAGAAAGAATTCAGGCAAAGATTGACAGACCCTTGGACCAAATTCACACGAGATCCAATCTGGGTCGCTCACCAGGACCAGAAGTTGACTCTTCCGAACTTTCGGACTCGTGCTGGAAGAAGAAGTTCCCTGAAGATGGGCTCCAGCACGAGTCCAAAAGCTGGTCCCAGTGACCGACCCAAATTGGACCTTGCAACATTATATCCTGGGACACGTAGATTTGCCTTGTTTCATAAATCCACACCACCCGCTGGCCCTCCCATTGTACAGATGGCTTTGGACACAGGGCAAGATGCAAACCTTAGTCAGGGAGGACTCACAGCTGAGCTGATTGGGCAAATCCAGGAAAGGGTGGTTTATTCCACGAACCATGGAATAAATAAATAAACCATGGGTGGGGGGGGTGTTGGGCTAGATGACCTACAAGGTCCCTTCCAACTCTGTTAATCTGTTAAACCATGCCTAGGTTAACTATGGCTCAGCCTATCCTAGCTAAGGAGAGTGCAACGGAGGTCCTGATAGCTGGTCCGAAACCAGTACTTTGAAAGAGCAATGAAGGGGCTGAGCTGGAGAGAGAGAGGCCATTGGAAAAATTGGGCCGAGCTGGCAGAGGGCCTTCTCTCCCCCTCAGAAGGTATTTCTCCTGGCACGGCGGACGACAGGCGAGTCCTGCCTGCAGGCTTATTGTCAGGCACAATCTCTATCTCCCAGCTTTGATTTCCTTGACTGGGTGGATTTCTATCTTTCCTGCTCCCCCCTCCCGCCCCCCCCACCCCACATCTCCTGCCAGAATGCTCCTCCCTGATTTCTGGAGTTGGCACTCTTGTCTTTCGCTGGCAGCCGGATGGCAGCCCTGAGCTGCCAGCTAGAGATGGAAGGGCACGATAGAGAGTGGAGGAGGCTGGGCTTCCTATGAGGGCCGTGTCATGTGCCCGGATCTGATCGAGAGGAATTTTCCCTCCAAGGGGTCTCTCCAATCTTCCTTTCCAGCAATTAATTTAACTCTCAAAAATAAGCCAGCCATTGTCAGAGAGAAGCACTTTATTTTTATTTTCGGCTCTCCCTCAAATCATCTTCTGTGCCCCTTTGAGGACCCATCGCTTCTCGTGTACTTTTTAATAAAAATTCTAAATTTTTCACGCTTGCTTGCCCAAACGAAATTCCAGATGGTGAGGGTTGGCAGCAGAGAAAGAACCCGAGATCCTCCTTCCTGTTAGCCAGCACAATTCATGGTTTATGCCCCAGTGGAAACGGGAATGGTTAGCCCGCTCGCGGCCGCCCAAATTAAAATTAACGTTGCAAGGATTCTCCTGGCCAAGACTGACCAACTGAGGCCAGAAGGGCTGCCCTTACCATAGCTAGCCTTAATCAGGCTGCAAAGAGGAGACAGTTTGGAAATAGTTTTAAAAAAAGGTTGGTATCCAAGAAATGTACAACGGTTACATCACAGACTTTGCATTAGTGCAAAAGGAACCAAAACAAATAACTATTTGGCTTCAGATTCAGGCACCGGAGTCCAAAAACTGTCTGAAATGGGAACAGGGCCGAAATAAGCATAGACAGTAAACAGGAAAAAGCTCCCAGAATTATTTTTTTAAAGCAAAAATAAAAAATAAAAACAGAGGGAGGGACTGAAGCCAAGCCCAGGAATCTGCTTTGAACTAAGGCAGGCTTCTTGTCCATCCAAGTCCCGCAGTGTCCACTCCGCCTGGCTGCAGCTTCTAGCACCACGGAAGACCTTTCTGACTCCGGCAAGCCACGATTTTAATACAAGCCTCCTGCAAACCAAGCTGGAGCTTTGCCCTCAGCAGCATCTCTCCCCCTTTCCTACTCACCGAAGGCCTGCACAAAAGTTGATTTTTAAAATACATCCCCGTTAACCTCTGGATCCAACTTGCTCTAAAGCTCCTGGAAGCTTCCGCTGCGGACCTGGCTCAGAACATCCCCACACCTGGTCTCGCTTGACGAGCATCCTGCCTCAGGCTAAGCCATGGATTGGTTAACTGTGGTTCTCTGAACCCGCCCCGAAAGGTGAGGCTGGACAGCATATCTTGAATCAAATTTGTCACGTTTGGGCTTCGTGCAATGTGTGAACCAGATCACAGACAGACAGCGGTACAAAAATCTCTGGGCCAGGATCTAACTCGGCCAGATGTCTGACCTCAATAGGTCCCTGCCTCCAGGGGTGGGATTCTACCAGTTTGGACCGGTTCTATAGAACCGGTTGTTACGATTCTGTGCAGTTCGGAGCATAGGCAATTTGTGACCCTGGCTGGCCCCTCCCCACCCTGCCCAGTCAGTCCTTATTGCGCACGCCTGACATGGCTGACTGCATTCTCCCGCACCCAGTCGCTCCTCAAGGCGTTTCTTTTTCCCCCTCCTCCTGATGATCAGCTGTGCTGGGATCCCCCTCCCTGTCTCACTGCTTCGCCCAGGAGGCTTCCCGGAGGGCCCAGGAAGCCAAAAAACGGAGTGCAGGGCGTGGGGTTCCTGCAAAAAAAAGAGAGAGCCATGCCCACCTAGCTGCTCCCACAGAAGCGGTCGTAAAAATATTTGCATCCCTCTGCCTCAGAGGTGGGATTCAGCCGGTTCTGACCAGTTCTGGAGCGGAAATTTTGAGTAGTTCGGAGAACTGGCAAATGCCCCCCTGTGGCTGGAGACTTTACAGTCTCCTTCCCCTGCCACGCCCACCAGGCCACGGCCACAGAACCGGTAGTAAAAAAAAATTTGAATCCCACCCCTGCCCTGCCTGCACCCGTAGAAGGAGAATTGAAGAGAAAGAGCCACGATATCTGGCGGGGGGGCCCCTCAGGGCTAGTTCAGAGGGGGGGAGACCCCTTCCCCTCCCTCCACTTCCTCACCCCAGGGGAGCAACCTCAGCCATCAAAGCAGGCCTTCTCTCTTCCCTCGATCACAAACCTCTTCTAGCCCCCCTCCCTGCGGGGCTTCCCTCCCACCTGCCTTCCTAGAAAACCAGGGACTGGCTCTTCCCGCCATAAATTATATCCGGGCAGGTTAAACAGAAGCTTTTGGACTCCAAAACTTTGGCTTACGGTTATGAAAGTCTGCTTCCCCTCCTGCAAAGTGCCGTTCCCAACCCTTCTGTGGTGTCTAGACAGCTTAAACGTTCAGTTTCTTCTTCTTCTTTAAAAGGTCCCAGGGGGTTGTTGTCATTTTTTAAATTTGCAAAAAATAAAAAGGAATGGGGGGAGGAGGAGGAGGAGGAGAAGAGAGAAAGAGAGAGGATGAAAGGGGAAAAAAATGTTTCCAGCCACCTGGCAAGGTGGATTAAAGCACCAGAGAGGCAGAATGGTTTGGGCTAAAGTCTTTATAGGTAGTCCTCAACTTACAACAGGTTCATTTAGTGACTACTCAAAGTTACAACGGCCCTGAAAAGGGGGACTTATCATCGTTTTCCACACTTAACGACCGTTGCCGCGTTCCCCAGGGTCACATGTGATCAACATTTGGATGCTTGGCAAATGATTCATATTTATGACGGTTGTAGCTTCCCGAGGTCGTGTGATCCCCTTTTGGGACCTTCTGACCAGCAATCGGGAAGCCAGATTCACTCAATGACCGTGTTGTTCACTTAACAACAGCAGCGATTCATGGAACAACTGTGGCAAGGAAGGTCGTAAACATGGAGCAAAACTCACTCAACAAAGGTCTCGCTTAGCAACGGAAATGTGGGGCTCATTTGTGGCCGCAAGTTGGGGACCACTGAAGAGAAAGTGAAAGAGAAGGTGTGGCCGGGGGGGGGGGGCAGGGTGACAGGAGGAGGGGAAAGAACCCAAGTGGGAGCCCCTCCCCCAAACGATCCTCCAGGTCAACGGGCGATACCTTGGGAGGCTGGGGTCCCTCAGCACTTGCAGGCTCTCGGCTTCACTTCCCGGGAAAGACGCCGTTCTTGGCTGCAAGGGAAGTGGAAAATATGTCAGGAATTTTCATTGACCAGGATGGCAGCCACCGATCACTGTCTCCTCCTCTGAGCCCCAAAGACGGTGCGGGTGGGGAAGTGGGGGCTGGAGAGTCCATCCTCCCATAGCCGCACAGCTGGACCTGCCAGAAAGGGCCCTCAATCAGAATCAGAATGGAGCATTTTAGACAAGGGACTGTCCAGTCTCTTCTTAAAAACCTCCGGTGATGAAGCCCCCACAACCTGGGATGGGGAAAAGGCAGAAACTGGACGATCCCGGCCTCGAACGCCCCACTGAGCTGGGGGGTCAGTTGTGAGTGCAAGTGGTGCTGCAGATGAGCTTGCCAAGCTGGTTGCGGCCACCGAAAAAGGGCATTTCAGGGCAGAGGGAGGGAAGGGGCCTGAAGCCCCTGCTGTGACCCTGGCAGACCCCACCCTGACATTGTTGCTGTTTCATAGGTTTTTCCATGTGGAAAGACTCCTCAACTTAACCACCATCGGTTTAGCAATCAATCAAAGTTACGACGACACTGTGAAAAGGGACCTGCAACTGGTCCTCCCCCTTCTGACGGACGAACAAGCAAGCAAACTCCGGCATCTGTTCGGGGAAGAACTTTGAGGAGAAGGAAGCTTTCGAAGGGTCATTGGGGCTACAAATACAATCTGTGTTGAAAAGTCGGAGTTGGAGAGTGGGCTTCTAAAACACCAAATTAACTGACATTGCGATGATGGGCTCTTGGCCCCCATGACTTA